TTATCAGTAAAAGGATACAGATGGCATGCTTTATAAATCTTTGAAAATGTTTCCAAAAGAACCATAGCACATTTCTTGAATAATATACGCAATTGCTTCAACTTATATAGATATTTCACGAAATTTACGAAATATTAATGGAAAGTGTTTTTTTCTCGATGCTGAAATATAAAACGTGTCTCTTTTTGCAATTAACTTGCTGTAAAAAACTTAGCCTATGTCGTCGAATTATACTATGAACCATTTCTACTGAAGAATCGCTTAAAGATGCAAAGTGATTTGATGATTAGTATTTTTCCAAAAGAAAATATCAGAAAAAAAGATTAAAGGAGCATATTTATAATTTTTTCGATCAAATCGAAGAAACAAATCACTCCAACTACGTATACAAGCCTCTTCATAAGCATGCCAATTTCCTTCTTGATGATGTACTACATAAACATCGAGTACTAAAGGAATTAAATTACTCAAAAGATCAGTTATATATAAAATTTCAATATTTTTGCACGTATGATCGAATTTTGAATAAATAACATCAGCAATATCAAGCCACACCATACGCATAAGATAAAGAATTAAGTCAATTCGCCATGATTGTGGCTTTTTACCAAGAGTTTTATTTTTTCCAAAAATACCTTTATAAATATCATTAAATAAAAATGAATTTTTTATAAAAACAAGTTCGCGACCATTCAAAGACACATGAAAAGATCCCATAACAGGCAAAAATAATGTAACGAATGGAGGAACAACTTCATTGTTAAGAAGAAGCCAATGTGCAATAGCCTTATGAATGAAAAACTGACCAGGCCAATCTGCAACAACAGGGATTACATAGTTGGAAAGGTATTGTTGCATGAATTCTTGACTATGCACAATTTGAAGAGCTTTCGTATTATCCTCTACACTTTTCAAATTGCCTTCAATAAAATCAAAGAGGATAGCATTTTGTATATATTGATCACTCTTTTTTTCTACTAGCCTATCGTTATAACTATGCAAAGTTAGCCTCTCCATAAGCTTATCATCAGAGCACTCACTTATGTAGTCCTGTACACATTCATGATAAGAGATACCGAGATTTATGATAAATCATTCGTCAAGATGTTTTATAATCAGTTCATCATCATCAAATTTTGGATTAAACACTCCATCACGCAGTATTGCTAATACAGGACACGGATTTGTTATAATGGTTGACATATGTGTTGGATGAGATGTAATAGTAATGTCAGACTGTCATGGAATGTGAATATTGTAGTAATCATCAATGTTTAGCACAAAAGCACTACTAGAATATTTTAAAAAAGCATTTTCAACATATTCCTCGTGAGTATCTGAAGCCTTTTTCTTTCTTTGATCTACTGCTCTTGATGTTGTAGTCATATCAAGATTTGTTATCGTATTTAACTCTTCATTACTCATATCTACAGAATTTAAATAATAAGCTATATCGAACTTAAAAGCATTAATTTTTGTATTATTTAATAATGCAAGAAGATAACATATATGCAAGATTAATTTTTTCATATGATCTATAGTTTTCTCAGTCCGTTCAAGAGATTTGGCTGCCAAATAAAGCTGCTCAAGAAAATCTTTTAAAACCTTGTTTACTTGAAACATTTGTTGTAATTCATCATATGAATATATGAGATCTTCTTTCTTTACATGTTCTCTTTCATAAAAAAACCTTGCCATTGCTGTAATAGCTTCAACAAGATCAACCATACTTACTTTTTTCTTATTTACAATCTCTACCCTTTTATCTCTTGATGTTTCAGTTTCTCTTCTAATTGTAATTTCAATTTCTTCTCTAATAAAAACATCTAAATTATCTTCAATTAAAATTTTTACTTGTTTAGTACTTTTTTGTAACGGATTTTCTACATATTTCATATAACATTTATTGCACAAAACAATATTCTTTTTTCATGCTACCTTTGCCTCTTCTGGTATTAAGTTCTTATGCTTAAGTTCTTCCCATTTTTCACCTTGAACCGAGTGGAATTTTTTCGAATCAGTAGATTCACAATATTCGCATTCCTTAATTCCAGACATACTTTCACTTGGCAAATTGTATTATAAAAGTTGTAGGATTAACAGGGATTATTTGAATATGTTATAATACAGCACGAAGGCTTCAAGTTTGCTTAGTAAATTTGCTTATGTTTGCTAGAAGAGTTATGTAACCCAAACTCCCTAAAAAAGTATTGTAAAGCGTATAAAAAATTTTTTTTGTTAATTGTGTAACCATTCGAAGTGATTTCCATATATGGGACGTTCTCCCCTGTTTGTAAAGTTAACATTTTTTTGCCGGTCCGGCCCGACCCGGCCCGCAAAAATTTCTTATATAATTTTACAAAATTTTAGGCCCGCACTGGCCCGCAATTATAAAATTTTGCTTCAGGCCCAGCTGCGGGACCAATGCAGGCCGGGTACCCTTATGTCCAGAAAATCCCGGGCTGAAGATCACTTCCGACCCTATCCGGATCCAATAAAATCACAGGATCTTGTATAACAAAACAAACGCGAAAAACATAAGAAATTGTAAAAAAAACGTAAATAACACAATTTACTATGATAACTAACTTCCGACCTCTAAGTAAAAGTTTTCAGAATGAAATTTTACTTACAGAACACAATTGTTAATGTTAGATATATAGTGAATTTTTGAGATACTACGACCCATATTCTTTTGGCCGACAGCTCGGAATTTTCTGGACATAAGGATATCCATGCAGGCCTCTAGTTACAATGATTACGTAACTGATTTTGGTGGTCATGCTAGGTTCGTGGTGATCGACCAATGAATGGATTTTTAATTATGCCATCAGATATTAATAACTTTACGTATCCAGATGTCTGAATTTGACTTCAACGAACATTCGCATCGTCGTCATAACCCATTAACAAATTCTTGGGTCTTATGCTCTCCACATCGAACAAAGCGGCCTTGGCAAGGTCAACAGGAAGCAGCCGATAATGAAACATTACCTAGTTACGATTCGAGCTGCTACCTTTGTCCGGGAAATAAGCGTGCACGAGGAGACACGAATCCCGAGTACCAAAACACGTTCATCTTTACTAATGATTTTGCCGCCGTAAAGTTTGATCAACCCCAATTTCAGCACAATTCCAACGGTTCGTTCTCTAATTTAACTAATTTAATGTTATTTATCCTTACATGTTTTTTTTTTTGTTCAGACAAATTCTCGTCATTGCTAAAAGCCGAAGGTGTCAGAGGTGAATGCAAGGTTATGTGCTTTTCTCCAAAACATAATATCACCGTCGCTGAAATGTCAAAGGATGCCATAATTCACGTGATTCAAGCATGGATCGAAGTTTACCGAAATTATTTTTCTATTCCTCACATCAATTACGTACAAATTTTTGAAAACAAAGGCACAATAATGGGGTGTTCCAATCCTCATCCTCATTGTCAAATTTGGTGTACGGAATCAATTCCTGAAGAACCTACCAAAGAACTTATTTCCATGACAAAATATTATGAACAAAATAAGTCTTGTCTTTTATGCGATTATGTTTTATTAGAAACATTAAAGTTACAAGATAAACCGAGAGTAATATGTGAGAATGATTCATTTGTGTGCGTAACACCGTTTTGGGCGACATGGCCTTACGAGACTATGATAATTGCAAAGTCTCATGTAACAAGTTTGATTGAATTGGATGGAGAAAAACAACTAAATGATCTTGCAGATATTATTCGTAGAATTACATGTAGATATGATAACGTATTTAAATGCTCTTTTCCTTACTCTATGGGAATTCATCAAGCACCTGTTGATGAAAAGGATCATTCACATGACTCGCATTTGCATTTACATTTTTATCCTGCGTTATTGAGGAGTTCAACTGTCAAAAAATTTTTAGTTGGGTAAGTAACCTTATTTTTTAAATAATTAACACCTATCACAAAATTTGGTTTCGCAAATAATCACGAGTATTAAATATTAGATATGAAATGCTCGCCGAGCCACAGCGTGATCTTACGCCCGAACAAGCTGCAGAAACATTGCGCAAATGTTCTGAAATCCACTACAAGCAAGAAAATATGATATAAACAAACAATAATTGTTTATAGAATGCCGCAATGATATTAGAAGTTAAATTCTTCGTTTACTTTTTATAATGGTCACGCATTTATTCATTTAATTACTGACATAACATATCCAGTATTTTTGCTATATCGATACGCGCCAGTGATTGTCTATGACCTGTTATACCAAGGATGGGGGATAATTCCACTATCAAATCATAATTTTTATCACTTTATTCCAAAATCATCTTTTTAGCCAATCGAAATTCAAATTTACAATTTCCAAAGACTATCACATGATAAATAATGAGATTTGATTGACTACGTATAATTTATCATTTATTCTTGATGGAAGTATTCACCATCCCTGTGTTATATCTATTTGCTAATTATAGATTATTGACCTTATGGCTTGTATGACTTATAAAATTTACTACGTATATATTATGTTATTGACTATCTTGACCATATTAACATAAAATTGGATACGACCTAAAATGGCCAAACTGATACATAATTTTACAAAATCACCAAGTCAGAAGGTCTTTCTGATAGATAAATTATTTAATCAAGTGCTAAAATTTACATTTTTATCACTTGAATGTTGGGAATAAATAATATTCATTTTCCGTAAACATTAACATCCATCGTTGGAATCCAACGATGAGTAAACGCCGGGATTTGTGGCAATTGAGGGATAGCCATAACATTGTTATTTTGTTTTTTGGATTTGGTCTTCATAATGGTGCCCGGTGGTCCACCCAATTTTGATGCTGAATTGTCTCGTATTGGTGGTGACTTCGGTCGTAGATTTTCAATTTCTGAAATCATAGTGCGTTAGTATGGCAGTATGAATAAACCTCTAGTATATAATAATAATAATTACCTGCTGTAGAACCAAGTAAATATCCACTAGGCTCATTGAAATATGACGCATACGTATTTGCATCGAAATTCGAACTTGACAAGCCGGTCCCGATGGTTAGCCAACCTGGTCGAATATTATGGTCCTGCAAATAGATTGATATTGATTAAATTTTCTAGTACGAAATTCTAGTTACAAAATATACCTCTCCAAACAATTCAAGTCTTCTGCGCCCTAGACAAAAGTGTTCGATAATGTGGTATAATTCTTCGGGTTTAGCTGTGCCTACTTAAAAAATGGAAGCAGCAAATGATTATACGTAAACTATATAGACATCGTTTAAAACGATAATAAAGTTTGATCACAAACTCCCGAAAGATGGTTCTTCGGATATAATGACATCTGTATCCACGTTGCAATGAATAAAATGACCATCTGTGCTGCGTCGAACTGTACCCCTGATACCCATTATACAATGTTCTTTTGTATGCTGGAAAACTGATCTAGGTTCAATGAATCGACTTCCCTAATAATTGAGGTAAATGTTTCAAAATGTTTCTAGACTAATTAATCACTAAGAATCACTAAGAAAATGTTAATTAATCTACCTCCCATTTCTTGTTAGTTTTAATCCATACAATATCTTCACATCTGCGATATCCCCATTTAAGGAGTAACTGTCGACCACGGTCGAGTCCCTCTGAATCTCCAGACCAGATAAAAATAAATGAAGGATTTGCTGCTACATCTTCAATTTTAAGGTTGGCGTATCATAAGAGTTAAGTCATATTAAAATAAAAAACGTGTAACTTGAAAGCAAAATAATCATCAGATAAGGATATAATTTCATCGTAACTCCAATAATCAGGATTTGTACCTGCGATCAACGGTGACTTTCTGCAGTATCTAAATTGTCAAATTGAAATTCTGTCAAGCAAATAAAGACAAATCCGATCAAACATGCGTATATAGCATAAAAAAAATATCAACTCTTCCAAAGGTGGATCAATCAAAATAACGTCAAATTTAACTCCAAGAGATTTAAGATCAAATGTTCGAAGATCAGCTTTCAAATAAGTGGCCGGTGTTGCCATATTTGCTACCAAAGTGTCCTTCATTTTTGTCAATTCTTTAAGTTTAGGATATCTAGACACAAATATTTCACAAGTTGTATGATCAAATAATGTAACATATTTTGATAGATATGAGAATGATTTGTAACTTACTCGTCGAAACGTTGTGACAATTCAGTGTCTCTAATGAAATTTTGAGGGCGGAGTCCAGAATCAACAAAATATTGACAATAGTCATTTCTAATAGTTTTTTCACTTTCTTGACCCGATGTCTGTTCTCCATGATATTGTTGTTGCTGACTTTCTACCTTGTTTACGGAAATGTTAATTTGTGGTGTAACTGGGATCGAAACTTTAGGTATTAAGTTTTGCCTTAATTCTTTGGCTCTTATGCTATTTGAGGTAAATTTCTTAAATTCTTCCACGGAGTTTAATTGCAATTTGCGACGTTTTTGACGTTCACGAAGTACTGCAGTGAGCCGTTTATGTGATTCTTTGAAAGATTGAATTTGTTCTTTGACGCTTGAATTCATAATTTTGCATTAATTATACATTTTTGAACTTAACGTTAATATATATCAAATATAATGTTTGACAAATCATTGCAGATTATGCAAATCAGGAGTTATTGTATAAAAATCAGAGCACAAAAAAAAAAAAAAAAAAGTTATTATTTGCATTTCACCATCTCGTTCACATTGTCGTTCGGCTATACTCACTTTGTTCAATTAAAAGACCGTTTATTCAGTCATCGCGACTATAAACATTTCTTTTTGTCTACGGGAGTATTAAAGTAATTCTTTAATCATGAACGATTTGGACGAGATCTTGGATTTTGAGGAGACAGTAGACTTTAATTTATCCGATAATCCCGATGCCCTCACTGTTGAAATATTAGATGAGGATGGTTTATTTAACCTTAATGAAGATATTGGCTTTGAAGACGGTAAACAACTAGATGAAGGTAAGTTTATTAAAGAATTTCGATGTACACCAGAGATGGTGGCAACGTGACATTTTAACCATTATTTAACTAAGGGTCTATTTCATTAGAGGATACCAAAGATAGTATCAAAAATGGTGATAATGACAAAACTCAAAGTAGCGAACAACTTATAGAGCTAGATAATAACTTATCCCATGATACAACACAACCGCAGACAGAACACTTAGAGGAAATTACTGAATTTAATTTGGATGACCCTGATTTTCTCAAAGAATATGAAGATACAAATAGCGGAATAGATAATGAAATGAACATTGAAGATGAAGAATTTTGGAAAGGATTAGGTGTGGATTCGTCTGATACTTTGGACAAAGAAGGCAATAAAGAGTCCGGGAAGCTTGAAACAGACAATTCTATTATATCTACATTACCCTCAAAAGAAAACACGCTAAAGTCTTCATCAGACACTGATGTTGCGAAAGCTGACGGTAAAAAATCAAATATATCTAATAATGGGAAATCTGTAACAAGGAAATCGAAGTCTCCTGAAAAAGAAGACGGTGAAATTATTAATCAAACATCTTCCACTGATAATAATAATCGACAATCTCAACAACAAAAACAAACACAACAACAATCTCCAGCGCAAAAACAATCACAACAACAACGAGCGCCACAACATTCACAACAACAATCAAACCACCATTCTCAACAAAACTCTCAAAATTATAGGGGACGAGGTGTGAGAAGAAATAATGAGTGGAACCAAGGAAATGTCGGTGGTGAATTTTTTAATGGAGGCATGTCAACATTTCGGTCGGGATATGGACCGGGTTTAGATGGAATGTCAGGGTATTTTTCAAATTTACTTTATTTATAATTGAACCATCTTTACAAGAATGGTTACGTCTTTCGTCAAAACTTTATTAATTTTAATCTAATCCAAAGAATTCCGATTGGACAAATGTCAATGGGTAATTCATCTATGATTCCGAATTTACCTAATATGCCTGGTAGGGTATTTGGAATTATCATTGTTTTGATTTCCAAAACAAAATCATTCATTTCATTTTTATTTTATATTTTGTTGAGAGGCGCATTTTATCATTTTTTTTAAATATATCTCGTAGAACTTACCAAATAATGACTTAATCACCGTTTTTCTTCAACCGGGTCATGTAAGGTCCAATGATTGGTCCTAATATTCATGTAAATCCGAATTTTGCCAGATTACGGCCACATGCACTGCCATTTATAAATCCTATGGCACAATATCACATGGGCGCTGGTGGACATCCGATGAACATGATGCCGTATCAAGGGCAGATGGAAATGCCACCCTACCATTCGTCAATGTCACTAATGGGCGGACGTGGAAGCAATGCATTCATCGCGAGAGGTGGTAATCCCATTTTCAGTCATCATAATAATCCAATGTCAGCACGCAAATCTGCAAATCAACAACCAAATACACAGAGAACAACTCAAACAACAACTCAAGCGACGCCTCCCAAACGTAAGGCACCAAATGACGGATTCGAGCCAAAAGAACAAGATACCAAAAAAGCCATTGCTACGAATGGTAAATCTCAAGCTCCTGAAAACAAATCCACTACATCTCCTTCACAGAAAAACGTCGATCGAGTTAAAACATCTTTGACGACTACTACCACAAAAAATCCTATACCAGAAAAACCGTCCAAATCCGGTATTTCATCATCCACTACAAATAAAGCACCTGTCACAAAGCTTAAAAGACGCACGGCCACATTACCTTCTGAGTCTACATCATCTTCAAAAAATATACAAGATTCTAAGTCAACCATGAAATCCGTATCAAAAACTACACCCAATTCCCTGCCAGAAGTTGTTCCTTCAAAGTCATCCGCGACGAATTCCAGCGGTCCGATGGCAAACGGTACGAACAAGTTGACAATTGATAATATTGATGATCGTGTGAATAAGCGAGAGCTTCAGACCATGGCTGGCAGCGTTCCTGGTGGATTTACGGTAAGTCTTGTTTTATAAAATAAATTATTTATATAATTAAATTATTATATGTATGTGAGAAAACTCATTAAATTCTCATTTTTATAATAGTTGGTTACGGTGGATCGCGTGGCTCGTTCGGCCGAAATTACCTTCAAGACAGTTGACGGCGCAAAGATGTTTAGACGAAAATACAATAGGTTTGATTTGCTTCATGTCTCTTGAGTGTATTATTTCAAAATCTGCATAATCTTATATTCCATCTGTTATTAATAGGAGTGTCCTCGGCAAATCTAATATTATCATCAATTTCTCTTAATTAATGTCAATTTCGACGATGATTTTGTGGCGATTTGTAACTACTTTTATTATTATTTTCTTTTTTTTGTTTTCTTTTGTAGGTGCTCGCCAGTTGGTCATGATGGATTTATGCAAATTGGAGGGTTATATGTATCTTTTTCCATTTTCATCAAATTATAGTAAATTATGATTATAACGAGAATTTATTAGTAAATGTTGGACTTTTTAGATTTGAAATTTCGACACATTTTATTAATTTTGGTTGTAATTTGTCTTTGTAGAGCTAGAAATGAATTTTTTTTTATTAATGTGGATTGGCATTTGATGATGAAATCGTCTTTTGACATCCAAAAATTTAACAAAGATTTGGCAGTAGTCGAATTTACCTGATTTATAAGCACAAACTTTTGTGTAGCAAACATGCATTTGTATATAGAGCATAATTTGCATATGATATTTAATGAATCCATTCCGCAAAATAACGAAATGTTGCTAGTATTTAAGCATTTAACATTTCCCTTTATTAATTTTGTATATTATTTAATAAAATTGAAATGCGATTTATTATGTATTCATCTTAAATTTAAATTGCGAATGATCTTATATACATTTATTTTCAAAAGATTGTTATTTTAAGATTCACTGGCTTAATTCTGACCAGTGCTAACTTTAAATCAGGCTAATTCTAACTACGAATGGGTAAACCTATATTATCGACTTTATAAGATTTGGTAAACTTAGATAATGATAAAATTCGATCTAATTTTAATATATTAAACCATTGTAAAATATTTTAAATATCAAATTTTTAAAAGAATTATTATAACCTGCGCCATTGGTTAGAAATAACCACTCTTATTAAAACTTAAGATTAGGGTGTAGCTTTAAGATAAATAGAAGGTTTTATAAAAAATATTTTTTTTAAACATAATATAGATCGGGTATCAGGTTCTGATCTTAGTTCTAATAAGGTTTTAGAGGTGCTGAACATTTTTTACTTAGTATACCCGACTACTGTTTCATAGTGCAGCTTTCTCGAAATATAACATAGTAGTTATCTATAACTATTGACACAAGTTAAAAATATTCTTTTTAAAAAACAGGAATTACATATATATAATTGTAATGTTTTTATAAAAAAAAATTTAATTATAAATATTGGGTTTAATTATGTTGTTTTTTTTTATATATTAAACTAGTCTTTTGAGATTGAGATTTTTATTCAGTATTATAAAATATAGAAACTTATGATTAATAGAGTAATTTTATATTAAAAAGTACAACTAACATTTTTGATATTTAATTTAAGTACAGTTAGACTTCATTATAGTCACTCTTGATATATTCACAACCTTGATAAAGTTACCCTGTTTTTTGTTTCTAGCTTATATAAAACATATAAATTTTGACTTTAAATAGTTACAACTTTTTATAATCACTGATTTTTTGTTTCCTAGCTTGGTATCTATATCAAGGTCTGACTATAGTCTGTTTATAATTTTATACTAGTTGTTATACTTGTAGGGTTGAAAACACAGAGTCAAAGGGCATGTTTTCAAAAACATGGTTTTTTGACTAAAAAAATATGTTCTTTATTATTTAATATAGGTTTATGTTATATAATTTTTTTTTTTTTAATATTAATGATAAAGTTATGTTTTTATCTTTATTAAATATTTAATTGAGATTTTATATAAAGTACAATTTTGTTTTTAAAATATTATAGAAATAATAGAAGCTCAGACTAATTTATCTGTAATCTAAACCAACCAAAGTGGTCAAGATTCATCTAAATTTGAATGTTAGTAATTATATATAAAGGATTAGTTTGATATTTAATCTATTGGATATACCAAGAGTTTATTTTTAAACTAATAGAATTAAGTAAAAGAGAATGTAATAAAAGTAAGGCAGTATTTGGAAGTATGTTATATTCAGGAGTTTGAGCTATAAATCTTAAAATACAATATAAAATTCAGATTTTATAATAGATTTGTTGATTAAGATAAAGTAAGAACTTAATAACAAATATTATTATTTTTTTTAAATAATAAACTTGTAATAATATCAATAAGCTTATTTGATATTAGACCTGTTAGAGTTGAAAAGATTGAGGATAAATCTAATATATTGTAAATAGTTATATTACTTAATAGCTTGATTTTTTTTTTTTTTTTTTTTTTGTTAAGGTCATATTTGTGGTAATACTTTATTAACTTTATATCGGATTAGTTATTACAACTATTTTTACAGAGATGAGAGTACAGCTAGTTATGTGTACAACTTTTGGTTGCCTATTTAAGTAGTTCA